CATACCAAACTTTTTTGGAAACATTGATATTTCAAGAACGATAATATCGACGTATCGATACATCACTTTGTAGTTCATATTAGAGACATTTTGCATACCACTTTTGAGCCTCTGCGCATGCGCAGTCTCAAAAGTGGAATACTGTAATGTGTTTCGCGCTATGCGAACAGTCTCCATTGATGCCAAGTGTCGTATCAATTCATGTATTACGACATTCCTGGCGTGGAGGACGCTGCAAAAGAATAGCGCGACGAATGGACTTGGTAGGAGGTTCGTTTTGAAGTTCTACTTATGTTGAGAATTCTACATAAGTTCTTTACGTTGTAAGTTGTTCAGTTAACATGCTAACAAAATATTATTGAAATAGGAATACTTCGGCATTGATGATTTTTTTGGCAAATGATTCATTACGCATTTGTTCTTCCAATTTGAAAGCAAAATATTACAGTTCAATATCATCAAATCAATTCCATGTACATGCAAATAAGTTGTGAAATATAAATAATCAATGCACGTCGATGCCACTGCAGGGCAAATCATTACTAGGGTACATGCAAATAAGTTGTGAAAAATAAATAGTCAATGCAAGTCAATGCCACTGCAGGGCAAATCATTTCTGACGGACTAAGCGAAGTACGTATTCCGGATAATGTTGATGCCGCCAGCAAAATGACCCACCTTTACCCCGAGCGAAGCCGCTCGTTGTACTGTACCAAAAGCTGTGTGTTTATTTTTTGCGCAATTTATTATTCGTTTATTCAAGAAATATTTGCCCTTTTTCTATATATCTTTTTTCCCAAATACGGAGGATAAATCATAGCGTGCATATGATATTTAATAACAATATTTTTAAATTTTAATTTATGGAGGTTGTTGACAGTACATGAGGTATAAAAAACTAGCATTCAGTTTCGTATGTGTACAAACACAAATGCGATTCTTGCCGATCTTAATTGATTTCAGGCTAAGCCTGGAAATTCAATTCCGCTTCAAATATATTTTGTCATAGCACTTATTTGGCAATACTCTTAATTCAAATCACATTATTCGTAAAGAAAGCACGCAAACACACTAATGTTTCTGTTACCACTTTTAACGTTAATGTGAAAAACCCACGCTACTCTTCATTCCTTATGAAGGAAGCCAAATCGCCTCGCTTGATCCCAGGACACCCTCCACCCTTAATCCGGCACCTGTTCCCTTTGCCAGCAGACAATGGTACGTCCCGCAGCTGCAGAGCGCGAGCCAGCTCGTACAAACAAATTCGTGAGGGCCTCTAGTCTAAACAATGAAAAAAGCCAGAAGTGTCGGACTCATTTAAAATACCCATCCATTTCTTAAAAACCTGAAATACAAAGGAATTCAGAAAACAAACTAAAGCAAATATCACGCAAAAATTTACAATCAAAACTGATAAAATAAGGATACATATAAACAAAGTAATATACTTTAGAAATATTTTCAAGCATTTAATTAAATCAGAACAGCAATTCAGTACATTCAAAGGTCCCAGAAACAAATCGTAAGTGGAAGTAAAAAACTTTAAGGTATTTTTAGTAACAAAAGTTTAAGTCGAAGTATGCTAAGATTTAAATAAACGCCATCCTTCAGTATTAAAAGTAATCAGACTTTATTAAGACAATCAACCAATCTCAGAAGTAGTTTCAGGATTCAATGGTGAGAAAAACCCACAAACCATGTTCAAAATGAACAAATAATTATTCTCCATGTAAATAAGAAAAAAACTATCAGTAATTGTACAGTTTAAGAAGTTAAGATTTCGACCATAGTAAGATAACTTACAATTATACCTCATTTTGTGCATTCTGTGCAAAAAAAGTATTACTCTGTAAATTGTTCAAATAAAAATGATAGGCTTGAACAAAACTTGCTAGAGAAATGTAGAGCAGACAGAAGAAAAACAGATTGCTGAAATTGTAGTAGTAAAACGGAGGTCTACTAGGAATAAATACAATATAAAAAACAAAGGGCTGGCAGATTACAAAATAAACTATTACACATATTTGATAACTACTGAACTATCAATACTGAAATATCTCTAAGAACAATACAAAATTTCTCCCCTATACCAACTATAAATACTGTTCAAAATGAACACTAACCGGACACTTAACAGCATCAGAATTACCACCTAAATAAAGTAACAACCCTATTGGCAATTCATTCATAATATAATAACAAATTCAATAACCACGGACATTATATATTTTAAATATTCCAACAGTAATATACAACTATTCAAAGCTCTATCATAACCTCTTAAGTACAATTATGTAAATTCATCACAATGAAGAAATGATCATCATGAACTAAAATGCCAGAAGGGCATAATTATATTACAAAACAAAATTTATAGATTGACCTGCTTCACAAAAACATACCTACAAACGAACTAGGAACACTATTATGACCAGATTATACTACATGCAGATCTGTCAAAAGCAATGCAGATGGAGCAGGAGGAATCATTATAATAAAAGCAATTATATGATTTTATCACATTTCATCGTCCCAAATCCTGGTCTACAAACACAAACAGTTTTGATTTCTCATAATACGGCAATGGAAATAATAGCAACATTCAAAGTTTCAAATGTTAAATACACTCTCTCCTCCAACTACTTAATCTCACTCTAGTAATAGGTGATATTAACTCAAAGGATATTAAATGGTGATGGTACCTGAAACGAAGTAGGTAACTCCTTACTAAAAGATCAAAAACACAATTGGTATAAATAAAAACACATAACTGACACATACTTATGACTCGAGAAAAAAGTGGCCTCACTCATACTTGATTCACAACTATATTATTACCGAAAAATGTGCCACAAATTAAGATACTAACGACGCCCCCAGTAACTATTATCACCCACCGAATCCAACTACCAACATGCTTGCTCACTTAATCAGAACACTCTCAAACTAAGAAAGTATAGGAAAATTCAGTACTGAAACATAATTGTCCCAAAATTGACAATGCTAAACACTTCTATTGTCCAACACCTGCGTTCAAACAGGATACATTCGTGTCAATTAACGTCGTATTCCAAAGATACCAAACACAAAAAGACATTCAGAAATAATATTGTTTAAAATGTTTATTTAAAGTTTGTATTTATGTCGCGAGATATCAAAAGTGCAAAGTAGTTTCTGCAAAGTAGAATTATGATCAGAAGGTGATACGTTAAGTACTTACGTTAGAAATCCGCCAATTTCAGTAATTCACACATTTATATGTTAGATGACCAGCGTTTAACTCGCCAAAAGCCGTATTCACTTACAAAGAAGTTCGTCGAAGTCAAAGAGAAGTGGTGCGTGCATGTCGGCTGTCAAAGAACGAAGTCCAAAGATTAAGCATCAAAAGATTGTCACTAGTTTCAAATACCTCTCGCGGAGCAGAATAGTTAAATAAGTCAAGTTATTAAGGAAAGAAGAGAATTGAGTTAAGGAACAATCAAGTCATAGAAAAAATACAAGATATTAGAATTGATAAGTATTGTACTTTCGTTCATATTATGAGTGTCTATTAGGGACTAGAAAAGTTAATACTCTTGATATGTAATATTTCGAACATACATATCACACCACAAAGAAGTAGTTACTTTATACCTTCCTCATGAAATTGAAAATATTTAAAGGTTATTTAATAAAAAAACCCTCAAATTAATGGTTCTTTAGTACAAGTCGCACTAAATTTCATGACAAATGAAACATTGTCAATGTCGGCGAATAATTATCAATCCAATACTCAGAGACCTTCCTCAGGAATTAGAATTACCCCATATTTGTTCAACTTATTCACAACATATCTACCCTTCTCAAAAGATGTAAACATCACTGAATTTCCTGATGTTACTGCATAACATTAGATACTGCACTTTGCACTATAAGAAACAAAATTCATCTAGTTTCATAAAAAGGGATTGTGAGTCAGAAACACTTTGTAGTCTTTTGGGGAGTAACAAAATTCGGGCGAAAGCGGAAATGTACTTCAAGCATTACATCAAACCTACGATTAAATGTCGGACAATCCCTATGCTTCCGAATGGTTTCCCCACATGTGTAGTCTTGTAGCGAATGTTAATAAGGGGAGAGAAAAAGGGACAAAGATGAAGACACGATCGCGTTTTGTCTTTGGCCTGTTTATTAATGAATTGCTCTGGCATTTGACCAGTATTAATCAGCGATCTCGGAAAAGTACCAATCAGAGCAACCGATTGCTAGAATTGTCATCCTAACAGTATTTGAAATCGACCCAGCTCTCTAGCTCTATGGGCTCTCTCCGGCATTTGAGCGGGATGGGAGAACCTGAGCGAGCAGATATGCGGGGCTTTATGGGCGGCCTACCGATCCCGTTCTTGTTCCCGGACTGTTGTTTCAGGGACATATTGTAGTTGGCGGGTAGTGACAAAGTACCGGTGAAGCCGAATTGTACTTAAATATTTAAATCAAATCTGCAATTCAATCACGATTTGATGCAATTCTTTTGACATTACCCCACATTGACCACTTACTGACTCTGAGTGAGATTGTATTCCGGCCAGGACCAAAGCCATAGTTTATTGCGTATTATTTCCCCGGAATATTGAAGTGTTCCTTCCCCGGAACGTCAGATCTGTAGGTCAGCTTGAGAGGTTTCCCCTCTCTAGGTATCTCCCCGCGAGAGACCTCGCAGACCAGGACTCAGTAAATTTCTGGATGGTCTCTCTACGTGTGGTCGTGTAGTAAACGTCAAGATAAAGAAAAGTCTCGATCGCATTCGGTGCGTGGCCCGTTTGTTAATGAACTGCGCTGGTTTTCAACCGGTATTGTTCGGCAATTTGTACGGCGATGTGAGCGGTGAAAAGTACCCGTCAGAGCAGCCGATTGCTAGAATTCTTGTCCTGCCAGAAGTTGAAATGGACCCCACTCCCCAGCTCTACAGACCGTGTGCGGTGCGGCGTTTGAGCGGAGTGCGATAGCCTGGGCGAGCAGACACGCGCCAACAGCGGCGCTTTATGGGCCATCCGATGCCGTTCTTGTTCGCGCGGGCGCAAGCGAAGGCGCAAGCGAGGGCGCCGGCAGGTGGAACGGCCGCGCGGCCCCGCCGCCCGACGCGTTTTGTTCCTGGCCGCGCTACATAAACGCTTCGCTGAGCTTCCCGACGCCGCCGCGCGCTTTTTGTTTTGTTCTTTGCCCGAGCTGTTCGTGGCGCTGAGGCGCCGCGGCGCCGGCGCTCCGGGCACCGCACAGTGGGCCAGGATCCAGAAAGATGAAATGTGAAAGCGCGGAATGTCTCTGTGAACAACACTCTGCATTTCTTCACAACGCGCATTTGTATTGTAACAAAGCGGTTATTTATTTACTTTTTGTTTATTTATTCCATTTTCGTTTTTATACTGTTTGAAACATTTATCTTTATTCTTTGAATTTATATGCTTTTTTTCAATCATCAATTTACCAAGATCAATTTTCAAAAACTCAATTTTAATAACATTTTTTTAACTTTTCTTTTTATTAAATATTTAAGTTACACAAATTAGGCATTAAAATTCCAAACAACGTGTGAATGTTCTCATAGTCAAAAGCTAGCTGTGAAACTTTTAGTTGCGGAATACTTCAATTAGTGTTTCCCTTAACGTCACTTACCATTTTTTTGCTGTTTTTACTGCTACAAAAAATACACATTTGTCCCCTTATTCCACCAAGGAAGACATTTGGTATCTCTGGGGACTTGCAGTTGCAAACTCCATCCCAAATACCGAGATATTTTGTCATTTAATGGCATATGGGGGGGGTGGATCGTGAGACGTTGTTTCAAGCTGTACTATTTTTTTTAGAAAGGAAAAGGATTCACATTCATTTTTTATAGGTTAAGAGAAAATTCAGCACCTTTCGGACACCGTTTAAAATGGTTGAAACACATTTTGCAGCATAAATATTTGGCAACACGATGGGGAAACGTCTAAAAAATGTTGATATCTAAAACTAGAAAACAAACATAAACGGAGATACGTAAGGGTCGAAATAAGCTCATCAATTTATCAGAGCGAACCACGCAAAAGAAACAAACGAGATTTCTTATACAGCAGTAGTCGGCTTGGACCAAGCAAAATTTGAAAATTCTGCCACCCAACGCCTGGTCACAAAACTCGGATTTCTTCATCTATGAAGTGTTACTTCTGGACTCACAAACACATGCGGTATCGCGGATTATATACATTTTCATGGAAATATACATACATGCACAAATAATCGCAAATACATTATACTAGTCAAGAACTTCGCATTTTCAATTTATTTTCGACCCCATTTTTTGTGATCTTGCCACTGTACGTTGAGGGCGGCGGGGCGGTACTGAGCGCATGTCGTGGGCGCGCTTTCGTTGTTCTACAGCACCGCTAAACGCTGGAATTCCGGTACGCCGGCTCTCACTGCGAGCCTCCGGAATCGTTCTACGGCCCGCACCGGCACAAACTCCGAAGCCTTTCTTCTCTACGCCTGCAGATCTCTGCTCACTAAAGGAGTTCATACGCTTTTGGATTTCATGACACGTTTTCGATCTGATTTATTCCTTCTGGTAAACAGGATGGTTTATGTCCATAACTCCGCAAGTAAGTCAGGGATGACACCCGTCGGTTCCTGGGTTTCTTCAGTGTCCTGTGTTTCTTGAGAACCTAGCGTCAAAACCATTGCCTCTCCAGCATTGTTACTCGTATTGTGTGGTTCTACGGGCCGAGTACCAACGGTGGTGGATTTTCGACACTAGCTATAGAGCTGCATTGAGTTCTCTCAGTGTCTGCAGAACTCTAATGGCCAGCAATCGGATCGTCAATTTTTCGTGGTTTCTCCGATCAACACTAGGCGAATGTTGGAACCGGAACTTGAAAAAGAGGTCACGGGTAGAGCGCGACCTTTGCTTCCTCAGCTTCCTCTCCCCTTACAGCCATACACACGCACCTTAATGCAGTGCACTACCACCCATGTCGAGAGATAGGTTGGGAACTTGTAGATTATCCCGGCTGGGGAGGGATAAGCTCTAACATCCCTTCTGGAGGAGATTCTTGGATGATGACTGCACGCCTGACACGTAGGTGTATGTCGGTTCTCACATTTCCATAGAGAGGTACATCTTCCCGATCCTTCCGGAGGTGTAATATGCATTACAGTATTGGCACTCATTCACCTATTCCCTGAACCGGGAGAAAATTCATAAACTTATGAAGATGTGAAGCACGAGGCAATCTGGGAGATTTAAGGGCGCGATTAGGCGCCTTCTGTATACGGTTAAAATGAGACGCAAATCCGGACGGGGAAAATAATCACTGATCCTGAACATGTACGAGGCTCTTAATGCGCTGCGTAATCGCTGGCAAACTGAGTAAGGTATCCACATCAGCGATATCTATATTTTTTAATTTGTCTGGTCGTATAGATTTCTTGGATTAAATTCAACTTATCATATAAAGAAGTCAAACAAACAATAAGATACAAAAGTAACTCTCACTTGAAATTTCTGAAAATATCTACTGGCAGAATTATCATAGCTAGAATTACCACAAGCCATCAAAACCACGTCAGCTTTTTAGCACAATCATATTCATTGTATTTACAATTGTAATATTGATCGATGCATATCTTAAATATCTCGTATACTTTAGATGAATTAAATTAATAATATTGTACGTAATATTTATCTAATAGACATATCAACATGAAATTGGACTCATGTTTCGTATCAAAGACAAAAACACGCTGTTCTCTTTTTAATATTAACTCGCAATCAGAAGCTCCAAAAGAATAAGAAAGTTACCTGGCCGCGACTTATGCGAATTCACATATGTTAATTATTAACTGCGTCTTTAGCAAAATTATAACTTGTAATTTGCTGTTAGCTTCCATGAAACTTGTGTAATAGACTATATTCTGTGCCAGTTCACCGACAATAAATTCGTACTTTCCCTCAAATAATAATAATAATAATAATAATAATAATAATAATAATAATAACAATAAAATTGTCTTTATTATTGGCGTGGCTCATGCCATTAGGCCTACTCTTCCGCCTACCCATGTTAAACATTTATATTACTTCAGATACTGTGAAGAAGATACAGGGGGGCAAAAACTTTAGTTTTACTTCTGGCAGAGCAAACCCAGAAAACTGCAATCAGGATGGCGGTTGAAGGCGGAGAACATCTAAAAATACATTCATTAATCAGAAGAAAAAGAAACAATGGTAATAAAGAAATGGCAAAATTAAATAACAACACTTATACAATAAGAATTAATATTGCCTAATGAGAGGTAGTGACACTAGCTGCAACAATATGGTAACATAATCGAATTGATACTAAAGAATAATAATTATAAATTATTCAATTTCCACATCAGTTTCACCAAATCAAATAAACTTTATTATATACAATGTCAAGCGTAATAAAATTTCAAGTTAGCAGATATCACAGGAAAAAGAAATAAAATTTGTTTACCCACAAATAATAATAGTATATAAGCATTACACAATCTCAGATAAGTAAAAGCAACCATTGATTTTTTTTTTGTAATGAGAGTGACCACTGGGTCCAAAACCGTTAAATAGAAATTAAATTGAAAACAGTTTTTGAAATCGACCTTTAAATATTTGATGATTTCCCATAAATCAATGTAGGTTTTCGTTCAGGTGCCAAAAAATTGTATGCCTTATTTTGTATGAACATGTTCAAAATTGTTAGTTTTTAATATTATTTTCATTTTTTGTCATTAAATGCATCTCATCATCCAAGAAAAGCGGACTTGGGCACCCTTTAATATGAAACCAACAAAATATAAAAATGACAGTAAAAGATAAATTAATTACTAGTACATCTAGATAAAATAGCTTTCATCAATCATTTGAAATAATATCACATTACAAGATTGAGTTTTGTAAACAGTATGGCAAAAAATATTAAAAGCGAAAACTTTTCGCCTCAGAAAATAATAGAGCTTTTAATTTCTTCTAAAAGAATTGACAGAAATACTGTGTTTAATATTCATTTGGAGGCTGTTCCATGCTCTTGTTACGCCTACGGTAAATGAGTAAATAAATTATAAACTACTGAAAATGATATTTTTGGTTGGTAAGACTAATAATGATGTTTCTCCAAAATTAATAATTCATGCTCTGCAGCTTGTATCTCATCAGCAATTCGCTCGACGAAACAAATGCGGGCAAATAAATTTTGATGGAATATTTTAATTCAGGTACAAGGCGTATAATGTAGACACGCAGTTTTCTCTTAGCAGACAAAAGACTAATTTCCATTTAGCACTTTTGGCACAACCAGTAGAATTGTTTCAAGCACATTTTAAAATATATAGTTCAATATCTGTAAGTTTGTCGTCCAACTATATTTGATTTTTGAAAAAAATAATGAAACACCTTCATATTACGAAGTACCGTTAAATTAACATTTTATTTCATTGGCAGTTGAGACGCAAGTGTAGAAAGCAGCTCAATCGTAACTGAAGGGCATAAGGAACCCGTAAATATCAAAGCACATGGGTTTGAATTAGCACAATATTACATTTCATAGCAAATTAAAATACTATATTACTGTAAACGCGTAACTACACTACATCGTTTCAGACATACTATAAGAACATTTTGAAAACAAAATACCTCTTTAAAAAAATATTTATCACCATAATAACAAATGCAGACATCCCGTTAATGATATTTTGTTACATGTCAAAGCATTATCTATTCAGTTATAAATTTGCTTAAAAAATCAAATACTATCAATATAATTGTACGAGTAGTCACTATAAAGTAAATCAGATAAGATGAATAAATATCTGACACTGCGCTAGTTTGAACTGAGATGTAATTCGGTCCTTACTTGCATTAAAACTACTCTTTCCCCCTAAAAAATGTACATGTTGGTGTCAAGAGAACACTATTATAATTTTGAATATTAATATGCAAATTTACAATTAACACATACATTCAAAAGCAAGTTGAGTAGGTGTATTTCATATGTATTGTATTTGTATTTCCGGTCTTGAGTATATGTATTGCCTATCAACAGAGTGTCAGTTTGAGAGATACATCGCGATCTTCACAATGTAATGATTAAATGTTTCTTACTGCTTCGTGACTAAACAGACGTCTGTCCACTACTCGTATGTTCCACAACTTTCAGACCAAGACGCTCATCGCGGTAAACATACCACTAAATATCGGCAGAGATAAAGTACTCTGCGTTCGGATGCAAATGATGAAAATCTCATTTTAATTGAAGGGCCTGGGACTGCAACAAGAGAAGCCACACCA